GAGTCTGCAGCAGCCTCCAGGATGGCGACGGTGCAAGGCGGCCTGCAGCAATGGCAATGTCTCCGCCGCAGCACGGCGGGTTGTCTGCCTGCCTCGGACGACGTCGAGGGACGCGGCGACGCGGCACGGCCGGACGTCGCGCACACTGGCCGCAAGGAGGCGCTGGTGTACTCGACGTCGGGGCGCCACTGCTTTATTGCCTTGCTAGCCCTGCTTGCCCTGCTTGCGTTTCAAGGACGGACAAATTACAGCACTTTGTTTCAATCCCCGCCGCGCAGTCTGGCTCCATGTCTTCTGCCACACGTGCCCCCCCCCCCTCCACGTGCCCCGCGGACGGGGCGGATGCGTCCGCAGGGGGCGGAGGGGCGCCGAGCCGCCGTGCCGCCGTGCCGCCACGCTTATTGGCTAATTGAGACTTCCATCTTGTGCCGCTAATTACTCAGACAGATTCCTTGGTGTGGGCGGGGCGGGGCGGGGCGAGGTGGCAGGGGGTGCAAGGGGGCGCTGCCCAGGGGCCACCGTGCGTTGAGACGCCTGCGGAGTACAAAGTAACGCAAACGTGCGTTTTCATGATGGTGGGGGCGTGGGGCTGCGTGGGGCTGCGTGGGGCGGACGGGCAGGGCGGCGGAAGAACAGCCCGCAGTCTGCCAGCGTCCGCCCTGCCGCCCTGCCGCCCTGCCCATTGCCCCTCGGCCTCTACTTTGGGCCCGGGTGGACACTCTGCTAAATATTTCGAAAGCTGCGCCACTCTTTTGCTGCGAGCACCGTGGCGCTCCACAGTGGATTTGCCAGAAGACCGGTAGAGGCGGCGAAAACTCTAGACGCGTTTTGAGCTCCAGAGTCGCTAAATAAGACTCGAACCAAACGTGTGGGATGGATTCCTCGTTCGGAGAGCAATCCATTGGTGGGGTCACGCGAGGTCACGTTACACATTCAGTTCGAGTACCAGCTACTCTGGAGCTCAAAACGCGTCTAGAGTTTTGGCCGCCTCTGTTCGAGCCCTCCAGAGCGCACAGTGGGTCAGACGACCGGTGAAGGCGCGCCTTCACCGCGTCTGACCCACTGTGCGCTCTGGAGGGCTCGAACAGAGCCCTCTATGGCGCTCGCTCCAGCCGTGGCCCTCTGGCCGTGGCGGCCTACGGCTTGGCCCACGGCTTGGCCCACGGGCGAGGAAAAACACGGGGCACACGGCGCGAGGGAAGGGAGCAGCTCGTTAACAAATGTGGCCCGTGGGCGAATGGATGCGAACGCTTAGCCAAGCGAGCGCGAACACTTGTCACTGGTGGGAGGGGGCCTGGCGCGAGCCTGGCGCGAGCCTGCAGGCTGACTCCGAACAGTGCTCTCGTCGCTCTCTCTCTCTGTCTCTCTCGCACCCGAGGGGCGCTGTGCGCAGGGATCCGAGGGAGACGGAGCGACGGAACATTGTTCGGGAGCCTCCAGGCCGCTGGCGCCGCTGCTGGTGGGAGTTTCGGAAACCAGTCGGCAAATCCAAATGAGATCATTACTCGGCCAGACAAATACTGCACCCGATTCGGCTATGGAGGGACGAGAGAGAGATAGAGAGAAGGGGAGACGAGACGGTCGAGGCGGGCCGCACCACGGCATGTGCGCCGAGCGGGCGGCCTACCCTGGCTCTCGCAGGCGGGCCGGGGGGCTGCCTGCAGCAGGCTTGCCAAAGGCTTGCAGTGCCGTGGTGCCGATGCGATGCGCGAGGCGTGATTCAAAGCGCGGGTTTAAATTTCCCGGCGACCCGGGGGAAGGGCACGTTTGCGAGCTCGCCCAGCTCGCCCAGCTCGCCAGGAAGTGCATCAAGTTGATTGTCGCGGCGACAAAGCCACCTCTGACGACCGGCTGGCTTTATTCGGCATGCAGTGAAGGATGGCGGCGCGGGGCGCGGAGCTAATGGGAAGCGGCAGGGGAGGGCGCGGCAGGGCGGATCTCTTATTCAGCACAGGTTCATTTCTTGGAGAAAATAAAAACCGGTTACGGCCGCGGGTCGCGGGATTAGAGTGAGCTGGGTGGGGCGGCCTGGTGGCCCCGGGGCCGTCGCCGTGTTCCGTTCCAGTCACCCCGCCGAGACCGAGAGCCAGGGCAGGGCAGCCAGGGCCGAGGGCGCCGCGAGGGCCCAGGGACGAGTGGCGGCGGCGTAGCACGGCGCAGCACGGCGCAGCCGCCTCTCCGCCTCGGAGCACCGTCACTGCTTGGGCGCCCCGCCAGCCCCGCCAGCCCCGCCAGCCCCGCCAGCCCCGCCAGCCCCGCCAGGGCGGGGTGACTCGGCGCAATCCATACTAACGGCGGTCAATGCGGGCGGGGCGGGGCGAGGCGGCACAGCGCCGGGGAGACAGGGAGACAGGGTGGCCGCGGGGAATCGGGAGATGAAGAGGACCCGCACGCGCCCCGCCGCGCCCCGCCCCGCCACGCCTCGCTGCGGTGTGCGGGCAGCCGAGTGATTCCCCATCTGGCACCAGGGCGGCGCCGGCACAGCCGACACCAACAACGCCTCGAATGGCCTGGCCGGCGCTGGCCGGTTGGGTGGCTGGGTCCCTCCGCGAGTCCGAGCGGGTGGAGGGCGGAAGGCAGAAATCACTGCCGGTAAATGGAGCCATGGAGCTCAACCCGCCCCGCCTCGCCCCGCCTCGCCCGCAGCCCATGGCCTTCCCTCCCTGTCTTCGCGCCCATCAATTATTCATCCGCCATCTTAACCTCGGTCCGGTGGTCCGGTGCGAGTAGTGGCCGTGCCGCCGTGCTGCCGTGGCGTGCAGGGCGTAGAGCAGGGCGTAGAGCAGGGCGGGCTCTGGGCGCGGGGAGGGCGGAGTGGCGCCGGCCGCGCCATTCGTTGCGGTGCGTGCTGCGGCCATGGTTGCGGCGCTGCGGCGCGGAGCGCGATCTCCTTAAACGAAGACAAGATGCCGGACACCATTGCTCGCCAGTGCCACGCCAGTGCACCAAGGTCTGATTTGATGGTGGTTTTTTCATGAGCGCGGCCGGGCCGGGCCGGGCCAGGCTGTGTCCCCTGTGTGTTCACTCCGCTTGCTGTTCCGGAGCCGTCCGGAGCCCAGCCCCTCGAACGGACCGGCCCTCTCGTTCCCTCTGGACTCCAAATCGGCGCCGCGCCCAAGTCTACTGAGGTTTTTCCTTCTATTTAATGAATTTTCCTCAGCAGCATCACTAACCCATTTCCAGGAAAAAGTATAACAATTGTTGTGCCACGAGAAACCAAAAACCGATTTGAATCGAACGGACAGGCAGTAAGTTACCAGACAGCGGTGACTCCTGAACCAATTTAACAAACAAGCCATGGTTAGGACTTCAGCCGGGAAGAGTGGAGACAGTCTAAATCGAAATGAGCTCCCCTCCCCTCCCACGCTGCCCCCATGCCGCGGATGAAGCCGCTGGTTTATACAGAAGATAGATCGGACCCGTTTTCCTGACGAATGGAAAAGTCCTCGTTTTCGTCTTTTTCCCCCTTTCGTTTTGTTCCGGGAATAAAAGCCGATCCTGCTGTGTCGCCATGTATATATGTCTTACGTGCCATTCCCCGCATGACCAGAACGGGGCGGGGCGGGGCCGTGCCTCGATACCGTGCCGCGCCCCATCCCCCTCCTGCAAGGCTTTCACAATTCCCATATTCATGACTGCACGGAAGGCTCGGAGCGAAGATGGCAATGACAGAAAACTCCCGATGTACCGATTTTTGCGAGAACAGGCGAGGATGGGGAGACGTAGCCGACCACAGAGCCTGTACGCAGGACCGCACTTTCAGCTCATTTGCGAACTTGTGTGACGCTCAAACATATTTATCAATAGCTTGAGTCAAAGCCAGATGTCTGAACTATTAAATTTCGGAGTTACGTCGAATAATCTAGGCGGGAAATATTTATATTCCCCAAGTAAATAGGGTCCTCCACTCGGACCGCCTTTCGGACAACGCTCGGGCTCGTAAGACGAAGACAGACCGATCAATCTGCCCTTGTTGCACTCGCACGAGGGTGGGAGCTGTTGGGGGCGGTGTGAATCCAAGTGAAAAGGCGCGAGACGCGTTCACAAAATCGAATTTAACGTTTGATTGCCTCTGAATTCAGCTCTGAAACCTGGATTGTTATTAAAATACTTTAAAGGAAGACATTCAATGATAAGTTTAGGCCTGATTATTAGTGTTTCGTAACAAATGCGCCGACAAGGTGGATGTTGTGCCTGTTGTCCTGTTTTGAAGTCTCGTTAAAAAAAATTTTCGCCATGATACTTAAAAAAATGTTCAATGACGACATAAAAAGTACGCATAGCGTAACTTAACGCTTGACATTTGATCAGTCAGTAACAAATGCGTTGACAAGTTTGAACCTTAACCTATCGATGTTTGTTGTTTTGTTCTGTAAAGAAGCAGAAAAGTCATTTTTACTGTAATTTTTACTTTTATTGCAATGAAAACCCTTTTCAGCTCTATAATTTCATGATATTTGAAGACGTAATTCGTACTTTACGATATCAGCTTCGGTGGCGCGCATTCAAAAACGAGAGGTTCGGTTTCGCAGGCGGTGAAAAACCTAGCCCGAGCGTTGTCCGAAGGCCTGCAGCGAGAACCGAGAGCTCGACTCACTCGCTCGCGCGGGGAGTGACTCGCCTCGGACTCACTTGAGTTGGCTAGTGCTGCGCAACTCGATGGAGACCATTCCAAGCGAAATTTTAGGCATACGATAAGATCTAATCATGAAATAGCTGATAAAATAGCCAAAATATCCTATAAACGCGATATTTCGGACCTTTGTGCTTTTAGGGCTTTTAGAGCGGGAAAAGTCCGTTCGTTTGTCTCAAAGGCGGTGAGATTTCAAATTTTCAACCGCATAACAGCTTCTATGGGGCTTTTTAAAGGGCCCAAAAACAGCTCAAAACCCCTATCGGAATAGCCCCCAAATTTAAACAAGTGTTTAATTAAATTCATTTTCATGGGGAAAATTGGTTGAAATGCGCAAATATTCGTTACAAAGTAGCCCCGGGGGAGTTGGCCAATGAGAGCCCTCGTTTCAAAGAGTTGCCTTGTCGGCCGTTGTCGGCGTCCTCCGTCAAACTCAACCGTCACCTTCGACAAGCCTTCGAGCGCCAAATTTCCGAATTGCCGGTGTACCTCAAAGTAAATTTATTTGTTAGTGATGTTGTTTTGGACAGTACAATACTCGCTGTTCTAAATAACTCGGGGTTTCGTAAGTGTGCACCCGCCGAATCTCTTTAAAGATGGTCGCGGGATGGCTGTCGGTGGCGTTCTTTTTATTTGTCTTTTTCTCGTGTCTCCTTTCTTTCTTCTTCCCTCCTATCACTCCATACACACAAGCTGTCTCTCTCTCTCTCTCCCCCTCTCTCTCTTTTCTCCATTTGCAAGCAACACAACTCGAACATTATGATGGGATGGGATGTGTCCTAACCTTCATTGCCAGTATGCGATGTTTCATATCACGACATATCGCCCTTCCTGCTTATAGTTTTGCATCTATTGCATGTGTGAGACCACTACCTCAACCATGTTTACATTGTGTCATCTTTCAAGCAGATGTGTGCTGTGCTGTTTCTCTCTATTAGTAATTCCATAAATTTTCTCTTTGATTATCTGCAGATGCGTAATCCGCCACCCAATGTTGACTTTTTGCCAAATGTGCCAAGGGCAAATGAAGACCAAAAGATGTTCCTCTTAGCGTACATGGAGAAACATGTCCCGTTTAGCCAAGGTGAACATCGTAGCAGAATGCACAAGGATGACTACAAGGCTGCATGGGAAGCCTTAACTGCGGCTCTTAATAACTTTCCTGGTGCTGCAGAGAAATCCAGCTCCAAGTGGCAAAAGGTACGTGTTCAGAGTGAAGAGTGCATTCTTTTAATTAGACTTAAGCGTGGTATGACCACTGGTACAAGTTATCATTTGTAACTTTTTGTTAACTGTTCATTACGATATCTAAGATAATCCGAATTTCTTTTTGGAAATCTATCCCTCATGACATTAAGAGATATTTGGCATTATCAGTTTAGGAAACTGAATGTTGTCTCAGTTGTAAATTGATTTTGTGATCTTATGTGCCTGCAGTACTGGACTGACCAAAAGACGGGAGTTACTGGAAGAGCACGAGCGCTCAACAACTCAAAACGAGGCTCTTCAAGGCATCCCCCATTGGAATTTCTCACGCCTTACGACCAAAGGGTCATCACCTGTATGGGTGGGTGGACTGCGGTTGTGGGGATCTCACCAACTAGGGATCCCTTGGAGGTAATTTCTAACAATTAAAATATTACATTCTTAATATATTCAAGTCTTATGTCTAGGTGGCATTTTGTGGTTTGTAGATCAATCCCTTTGGGAAACACTCCCGTTCGAGGTCCAACTCAACCCACTCTAGGAGCCGTTCCAGATCTCACTCTCGCCAATCTAGAAGACACAGCAGATCCCGCTCTCCCAATTCAAGACACAGCAGATCTCACACAACCCACTCAAGGAGACGTTCCAGATCTCACTCTCGCCAATCTAGAAGTCGCAGCAGATCCCACTCTGCCCGCTCTAGAAGGCATAGCAGATCTCAATCTCGCTATTCAAGAAGACGCAGCAGATCCAACTCTCCCCGCTCTCGAAGACGTACCAGATCCCACTCTCGCCGCTCAAGAAGACGTTCCAGATCTCACTCTCGCCAATCTAGAAGACGCAGCAGATCCTACTCTCCCCGCTCTAGAAGACGAACCAGATCTCACTCTCGCCAATCTAGAAGACGCAGCAGATCCTACTCTCCCCACTCTAGAAAGCGCAGTACGTCTCACTCTCCATACTCTAGTAGGCGCAGCAGATCTGCTTCTCGCAAAAGCCACAGCAGATCTCAGTCTAAGGAAAGAAGTAATAGGTCCCAATCTAGTAGGCACAGCAGATTGGAGTTACAGAAATCATCAAGCACAGGCAAATCTAAGGCCAGTTCTGTCTGGGAACATGAACTTGCATCAAAAGGTCCTGTTGATAGTGCAGGGTGGCAGGTTATGCCTCCCTTACCTGAAGACGAGCGGACAGGTATTAACCTAAGATGTTCTTATTTTAAGTGCGCCTCGTAATCTTTCTGGTTGGCTGACCGTCTTGTGTATTTTTCAGTTTCTTCTGATAAAGTTGTTCCCATGCCTGGAACCTCAATGTCCCCGAGTTCTGCTGCATCTGGCTCCAAGCCTGTCAATGTTCAAACTGGAGTTGCTGGACAGAAAGGTATGATGCTGATGCTATGTTAATGGAAGTGCATTCAGTAAATGTAAGTGGTTGGCTGACCTCCTTGTGAATTTTTCAGTTTCTCCTGTTAAAGTTGTTCCCAAGCCTGGAAACTTGATGGCCCCGAGTCCTGCTGCATCTGGCTCCAAGCCTGGAAACTTGATGTCCCTGAGTTCTGCTGCATCTGGCTCCAAGCCTGTCAATGTTCAAACAGGAGTTGCTGGACAGAAAGGTATGATGCTGATGCTATGTTAATGGAAGTGCATTCAGTAAATGTAAGTGGTTGGCTGACCTCCTTGTGAATTTTTCAGTTTCTCCTGTTAAAGTTGTTCCCAAGCCTGGAAACTTGATGGCCCCGAGTCCTGCTGCATCTGGCTCCAAGCCTGGAAACTTGATGTCCCTGAGTTCTGCTGCATCTGGCTCCAAGCCTGTCAATGTTCAAACAGGAGTTGCTGGACAGAAAGGTATGATGCTGATGCTATGTTAATGGAAGTGCATTCAGTAAATGTAAGTAATTGGCTGACCTCCTTGTGAATTTTTCAGTATCTTCTGTTAAAGTTGTTCCCAGGCCTGGAAACTTTATGGCTCCAAGTCCTGCTGCATCTGGCTCCAAGCCTGTCAATGTTCAAACTGGAGTTTTCATGTCCCTGAATTCTGCTGCATCTAGCTCTAAGCCTGTTATTGTTCAAACAGGAGTTGCTGGTCAGAAAGGTACGATGCTATGTTAGTGCAAGTGCATTCAGTAATGTAACTGGTTGGCTGACCTCCTTGTGAATTTTTCAGTTTCTTCTGTTAAAGTTGTTCCCAAGCCTGGAAACTTGATGGCCCTGAGTCCTGCTGCATCTGGCTCCAAGCCTGTCAATGTTCAATTTGGAGTTGCTAGTCAGAAAGGTACGATGCTATGTTAATGCAAGTGCATTCAGTCATGTAAGTGGTTGGCTGACCTCCTTGTGTATTTTTCAGTTTCTTCTGATAAAGTTGTTCCTAAGCCTGGAAACTTGATGGCCCCGAGTTGTGCTGCATCTGGCTCCAAGCCTGTCAATGTTCAAACTGAAGTTGCTGGACAGAAAGCTATGAGCAGTATGCTGACTGGCCTTGACGCATTGGCCTTTGCAGCATCAACCAAATCTCCTCTGGTACCAGGAATAAAGGCCAATATTAAAATAATTGATGGGAAGCAAGTGCTGGTTTTAAGGCAACCTTTTAATTTAATTACAAACAATTTGAGCAATTCACGTTAGGTTTTTATTTTGTTGTGATAAATTTTTTTTATTCCAAAACTAGTTTTTCTACATACTGTGAGTATTGGTCTTTGCTGTCTTCTGTTGCGATTGTTCTGAATGAATTAGAATGTGATTATTGTTTGTACTATTCAACTGGTATTTGTAGTTCCTGAATGAATTAGTGTCTGTGGGTGTGATGTATTTAATGCTTTCATTGGTCCACTTTAGTTTGAACTACGTATGTAATTACAACTGATATGTGATTATTGGTTTTATTGTGAAACTACTATTAGTTATTCATGTGATCTAGACCTTGTCCCCACTATATATTTACATTTATTGTCATTTATTGAACTTTCAGTATTGGTTGCATTTGAAGCAATGCTTGTGATCTTACTATAAAACTATTATTTGTAGTTCCTGAATGAATTAGTGTCTGTGGGTGTGATGTGTTTAATGCTTTCATTGGTCCACTTTAGTTTGGACTACGTATGTAATTACAACTGATATGTGATTATTGGTTTTATTGTGAAACTACTATTAGTTCTTCATGTGATCCAGACCTTGTCCCCACTATATATTTACATTTATTGTCATTTATTGAACTTTCAGTATTGGTTGCATTTGAAGCAATGCTTGTGATATTACTATAAAACTGTTATTTGTAGGTCCTGAATGAATTAGTGTCTGTGGGTGTGATGTATTTAATGCTTTCATTGGTCCACTTTAGTTTGGACTACGTATGTAATTACAACTGATATGTGATTATTGGTTTTATTGTGAAACTACTATTAGTTCTTCATGTGATCCAGACCTTGTTCTCACTATATGTTTACATTTATCCTCATTCATATCTTCAATAAACTGGGATGTGGCTTATAGGCTTTTAAAATTTTCTCCCTTTTTATAATTGCCTCCACACGTCTCTGAAGAGCTTCCTCACGTTACTTGAGATTTTGCTCTTGTTAGCACTTCCTGTTAGCACACATGGGAAACTACTGTGTGGGCATGCCAAGGTGAAATATTGGAGCCAACGGTCAAGGTTGGCGTCGGGGGAGCCTGCCCGGTCTCCTGGTAAAGCCTTATTAGTGGGGCCGTGCTGAGGTCCAATGCTGGAGTAGCTTGGGCATGCATAGGGCTCGGGGCAGGAGCTTTGAACCCATTTTCTTGATCAAAGATTTATCTAAAGATTCCGGCTGCCGAGAGCAGCCTGAGACCCTCATTTAAACCGTTCTCCCCCTCCCGCCTCCCGCACAGCACGAGCGCGTCCGTAGTATCTCTGCCAGGGTCGCCTGCGCGCGATTCCCCGCCTACCAGTCCCCGACCCACTCTCAGCCGGCGATCACAACACACGCAACGCCCAACAACAAACAAACAGACGCCGTAACTCACTAGTTCTAGCTGTTCTAGCTCTTTCCCGCCTTGATTTACAGAATATCCATCCTAAAAAGATGGATGCCTATAATGAGGAGCGTGAGAGACAGATTCACCTCTTAAAAATGAGACGCAGGAATCTAAGGGATACTTCTGATCCCTTCAATGTTACTTATGAGACTTTTACAAAATCATATCGACTGTCTCAAGATTTAGTGTTTAGTCTCATTGAATTGATTCAGCCTTTTATAGCACGCCGCAATAGTCCTCTTGCGGTACCTCTTGAGCTCAAGGTATGTAAGAATTGTTGTCAAATGAAACAAATTCAGTAGAGCTGCTATCCCCATTAATTATTTTCTCGACAGGTGCTTGCAGTTTTGAGCTTTTATGCCACTGGCTCTTACCAGAGGCCAACAGGTTGTCACTTTGATTGCACAATTGGACAGACTACTGTCAGTAGATTCATTGATGAAATAACGGATGCTCTTAATGAGGAAGAGGTTCTGGCTCGCCTTGTGCGGTTTCCCGCCAATGATCAGGAAATCAATAATTCCATTGTCAGGTGTGATATCTGATTGAATTCAAGGGACTAAGGGACTAATAAGAAGCCACACCTGAAGTGATCACTTACATGTTTTCTGTTATTGTTGATAGAAATCGGAGCTTGGGTGGCAAAATAGACAACGTACTTGGCTACACTGATGGGTCCCTTTTCAAAATTAGAAAACCTTCAGTTGAAAATAACAGGCAAGCGTTTATCGGGAGAAAAAATTTTGCATGCATAAATGCTCAAATTGTGCGTATCATACCACTTTCCATCATCAAGTTGAAGCCTTCTTTGAGCTGTGGAATTATATTCTTCTACCTTTGCAGACCTGTGATAGACGTCTATATGTAATGAATGTGCTGGCAAGATACCCTGGAGCGACCACTGATTCATTTATTTTTGAAGATAGTGCCCTGCGCCGCAGAATGGTGGAAATATATAATGGGCGCCGCTGTCACCTTCTTGGTACGGCTTCCGTGTAATTAGGTACGAATGGCTGGAATTCTCTATCTCTACTTTTGTTGAAACTATGTTTATGATTGATATTCTAGGAGATGTGGGTTATGTCCTTGAGCCATGGATGATAATACCATTTGCTGGACCAGAAGAAGACACGCCGGAAAGGCGCTTCAACAAATGCCACTGTGGTGACAGAAACGCAGTGGAAAGATGCATCGGTGTCTTAAAGGAAAGATTCAGGTAGGTCATTTCACAATAAAGCCTACAGGGGCTCATGGAGGAAGAGCGCAAAGAGCAATCTTGGCTGTGCTCAGTCAAGCCTTATTGTATCTTATCTTTAATTTATTGTTAACATATTTCCTTAGATTCCTTCATGATGATTGCGTACCACATTACGACTACGTCAAAGTTTGTAAGTTTGTTAATTGTGGAGTCGTACTCCACAACTTGTGTGTGCTGACCAACACTCCCCTCTATCTTGATGATCTTGATGAAGCCCTGCTTGTCAACAACAATGTCAATGAAGAACGTCCAGAGGAATTCGAAGAAGCTGATGACCCTGAAGATCCGGACCCTGATGTTCCCATCGGTCGAAGAAATGCGGCTGCTGTAATTGCTCTAGGGCATCAAGTTCGTCGGGAAATAGTTGAGGAACTGGAGGCGCGCCGCCAATAGTAACACAGACTTAGATAAGGTGTGAGCTGTCCTAACTTGGAAGTGACTTGTGCATTGTTGGCCATTCAAATTCTGTGACAATATTTGTAGGATTGGTGCGTTGGTCTTAATATCAGCCTGGTACATTTGTATGGTGTCCCCTGAGCTACTTTAAATTCATGCTCTTCATCCTCTTTTTGAAGCTTGGATCCCTGTGAATATATTGTAATACTGGCTGAAAGACTTCACTATTATAGAAAGATTGGCAAATTTGCATATATTTGTGTGTCAGAGTTGCACACATGTGCTTGAGTAGTTTTTGTTGTGCTTTAGACTTAGAATTTTCATCTGTTTAGTGTAAGGATCCTTTGGATTGTATGTTTTATAGTCCGAACAGTGAAAGAATACTAAAGCACATAAATGTTTGTGTCTCCCACCTCTATTTCTTAATGTCTAGAAAGTCAACAACATTATCAATGTCAGTTCTTTGACTTTAAAATTCTCATGCATTTTGGTGATAATTAAACTGAAAGCAAATATATTGACATTGTTTGTTTATTTCTAAATTGTCTTTTCATAAAGGGAAATTTATCTCTCATCAGAGGACTGATGCAAACATAAAACAAATCGTCGGGCCAAACCAGAAATTTAAGTGAAAGGGATATATGAAGTGAGAATACATATTTAAGTGGGAAACAGGTGTGTATCCCAAAAAGTACTACTAAAAATATAAAAATAAAAGCAACACTAATTGCAATACACATGAAAACATAAATAAATTTGTAACATGAACTTCACAGAAAGTAACAGAAGCTCAAAATACAACTGAAGGTAATAGAATAATGAAGATACATGTAAATATATAGTGAGACTAGTGACAACATGAAACTGGTAATTGAAAGCGAAGGAATATGGTGAGAATGTATCTCAAAGAGGGAACAACAACAGAGTTCCTGAAACTACAATAAAATTTGAAAAAAACAAAAAAACACTGTATTTACAATACGCGAGCAACTAACATAAATAAATTCACAACATGAACTGCAAATAAAGTTATATGAACCTTTTGAAATGAAAGCAACAACTACAACAAAGCCCACAAACATTACTCAAAATATAATTTTTATGGATGCACAGATTTCGCAGGAAGAAAAAAAAAAGAAACTAAAGTGTCCGAAGACGTATGTTGTTTGGCTAGGGGTATATATGATCTATTGAAATGGTTACCCTTCTCCCTCAACTCTGGGCGGCGTTAATGTGAGGCGCCTGGGGGCCACTGCTAGGGTAACAGATCACCATGAATTTTTTTAGGTCCATGGCTTCCCCCAGGCCCCACCCCGGGAGCAAGGGCCCTTGAACTGCCTGCTACGAGGGAGTTTTTCACTCCCCCTAACCCCCACCCCCTGTGGGTTGGCGAGCAGGTCTTTTAAATGTATTTGCACCCTCGGTCAACAACTAACAACATAACTGCGACAAGAATGAGATAAAAAAAGCAAGGACAACCAGTTCACCTGCAGATTGTGACACGTCGGGGCACTTGCCCACCAGTGGCACACCCTGCAAGTAAACTGGATGCATTGGGGTTCCCTAAAAGTTGGTGCATTTTGAACGAATTTGGAAACAGTTAAATTTGATTAGGACGCCGAAAATGTGAATTTAAGCCAAAAATCCCCACCCCTAGCCACCCTAACATCCTGCAAAATCTGCACATCCACACACTGAAAACTTCACAACATAAAGTTCAGAAAAGAAGCAAGATTATGAGGTGCAGTTACAAACAGCTTATGTTAGTACCTGGCTGCACAACATCGGCGAGGGGAGGCATTACCTCCCACCCATCATCATCAACATCAACTTCGACCAAAAGTTCAGGTGGGATTTGCTCCCAATCAGAACTGACCCCAGAATGGGTTGAGCGGGATCTGCTACGTCTTCTAGAGTGGGTTGAGTGAGACCTGCTGCGTCTTGTTGAGTGGGGAGAGTGAGACCTGCTGCTTCTTCTTGAATGGGGAGAGCGTGATCTGCTACTTCTTCTAGAGTAGGTTGAGTGAGACCTGCTTCTAGAGTGGGTTGAGTGGGACCTGCTACGTCTTCTTGAGTGGGGAGAGTGAGACCTGCTCCTTCTTCTTGAATGGGGAGAGCGTGATCTGCTACTTCTTCTAGAGTAGGTCGAGTGAGACCTGCTTCTAGAGTGGGTTGAGTGGGACCTGCTACGTCTTCTTGAGTGGGGAGAGTGAGACCTGCTCCTTCTTCTTGAATGGGGAGAGCGTGATCTGCTACGTCTTCTAGAGTGGGTTGAGTGAGACATGCTGTGTCTTCTTGAATTGGGAGAGCGGGATCTGCTGCGTCTTCTAGATTGGCGAGAGTGAGATCTGGAACGTCTCCTAGAGTAGGTTGAGTGAGACCTGCTGTGTCTACCAGGGTGGGAAGAGTGAGATATGCTGCCTGTCTGAGATTGAGATCCGGCAGTCTTTGTTTTCGGAAGCTTTATCTGCAATTTATCAAAACAAACATGCTTAGTAAATGCATTTGCAAGTGATACATAGTTCATAAACACAGAAGTCATTACCTCCAGAGGGTCCTTTATAGATGCAACACCGCGCACACGTTTCCACCCTCCAATGCAGGCTAGAAGCCGTTGGTCATAAGGTGTCAGTAATTCAGTAGGTGGGCCACCTCCAGTTCCTCGATTTTGATGCACATATACTTGTCTAGCCCTCTGTTTCACAGCCATACGTTGGTCACTCCAGTACTGCAGGCACAAAAACACAAAAACATGAAACTGGTAAGTGTCTTAGAATGATGGTCCACCATAATGTTTATCTTTACGCAACAAACCTTCAGCCATTCTGCAGTGCTTTTGTTAGCTCCCGGTAAGTCATTTAAAGATTTCTTGAGTTTGAGCCAATCATCCTGGAATGTTGTCTTTCCATCTAAGCTATAGAACTCTCTCTGGCTAAACTTACAATTTTTTTCCATATAAGACAGAAGAAGAAGCTTCTGATCTTCCGATGGTGGTGGTTTACGCATCTGCAGATAATCAAAGAGAAAATTTATGGAATTACTAATAGAGAGAAACAGCACAGCACACATCTGCTTGAAAGATGACACAATGTAAACATGGTTGAGGTAGTGGTCTCACACATGCAATAGATGCAAAACTATAAGCAGGAAGGGCGATATGTCGTGATATGAAACATCGCATACTGGCAATGAAGGTTAGGACACATCCCATCCCATCATAATGTTCGAGTTGTGTTGCTTGCAAATGGAGAAAAGAGAGAGAGGGGGAGAGAGAGAGAGAGACAGCTTGTGTGTATGGAGTGATAGGAGGGAAGAAGAAAGAAAGGAGACACGAGAAAAAGACAAATAAAAAGAACGCCACCGACAGCCATCCCGCGACCATCTTTAAAGAGATTCGGCGGGTGCACACTTACGAAACCCCGAGTTATTTAGAACAGCGAGTATTGTACTGTCCAAAACAACATCACTAACAAATAAACTTACTTTGAGGTACACCGGCAATTCGGCAATTTGGCGCTCGAAGGCTTGTCGAAGGTGACGGTTGAGTTTGACGGAGGACGCCGACAACGGCCGACAAGGCAACTCTTTGAAACGAGGGCTCTCATTGGCCAACTGCCCCGGGGCTACTTTGTAACGAATATTTGCGCATTTCAACCAAGTTTCCCATGAAAATGAATTTAATTAAACACTTGATTAATTTGAGGGCTATTCCGATATGGGTTTGAGCTGCTTTTGGCCTTAAAAGCCCCATAGAAGCTGTTATGCGGTTGAAAATTTGAAATCTCACCGCCTTTGAGACAAACGAACGGACGTTTCCCGCTCTAAAAGCCCTAAAAGCACAAAGGTCCGAATTATATCGCGTTTATAGGATATTTTGGCTATTTTATCAGCTATTTCATGATTAGATCTTATCGTATGCCTATAATTTCGCTTGGAATGGTCTCCATCGAGTTGCGCAGCACTAGCCAACTCGAAGTGAGTCCGAGGCGAGTCACTCGCTCGCGCGAGCGAGTGAGTCGAGCTCTCGGTTCTCGCTGCTGAGCCGTCCTTCGTCTCCCGAGCCGAAGGCTTTCAAAGCTCCCCTGGCGAGAACTTTCGTGTGCCTCTGAACTCAACCATGAAGTAGGGCCTTCTCTCATGACTCAACTTTATACCTAGGGAGTAAGTTGGGTTGCCTCCAGGTGTACAGTTTCCCCAGCTCCGACGTTAATGACAAATTTACTCGTAGGAAGACTCTGGCCCGAGCACGATTTACAATTTTAGAAATAAAGAAAAGAGGGAAGGCCCGCCCCCCGCCCCCTCCACTTCTTTCTGCCAATACTCTGTGGAGACACGCCAACTGCCAATAAAGCCACGAAGCAGAAGACACCGGCGACAGAAGACCTCTTGCTTTTGAAGCACAACAAAATACACTTTAACCCCTTACTTTGCAGAATAGTCATGACAGCAGTGTCAGATTCGGATGACAGCTGTTTGTTTGCTAGGGAATTCGAGGTTGAATCCCTGGACACTACTTTAAAGTTTTATCAGAAAGAAATCGGCGATGTTAGTTGTGTTATCTGGGATGCGTCTTTGGTCTTGGCCCGATATTTGGAAAAAAGAGCTGAAGCCAATCCCACATTCCTTAAAAACCTTAAAATTGTTGAGCTTGGAGCTGGCGTAGGCTGCGTGGGAATTTTAGCCGCATGCTTTGGGTAAGGGTATGCATCAACACGTAGTCAGCTTTCACATAACCTCTACTTATTTGACTTGTCTTATTTTTGTACTTTTAGAGCTGATGTAACTATGACTGATTTGCCGTCTGTTTTACCGTTACTCGAACGTAACATATGTATAAATAAAGATGTTTGGTGCAAATCCGGGGGTAGAGTGGAAGCCTGTGAACTGTCGTGGGGCGATGCAAAGACTGAAATTAAACCCCCATCTCTTTTGCTTTTGGCTGATTGTGTCTACTACTCTGAGGTATGGTGACTCAAAGGAAATTGAAATATGCAATGTTTTATACATATATATGTACTAATTTCATCTTCGTGTTCCAGTCCATTCTACCTTTGGTTCAAACAATGAAAGAAGTGTCGAATACAGACACTGAAATCATCATTTGCCAAGAAGAGAGGGATAGTGATAAACAAAGAAAGATATGGAAAGAATTTACAGCTGAACTGAGCAAGTACTTTAGGTTTATTGCAGTGCCTTTGGAAGAGCAGCATCCCCTTTTTAGAAGTCCAGATATTTTGCTTCTTAGAGGATCACGTTTAATAAATTAATGTACTATTTTTCCCTCATTCATCATTTTTCCTTATTTCTCTACTTGTAAATGAAAACAATAATGAGACCTGTTTTGATTTCTGAAGTGGAGAGGGGGATTTAAATTTTAAGCAAACGTATTAATACACTGTAAGCGATTTTTTAAAAATTTTAATCAGAAGTTGTCACTACTGTTAATGCAGAAAGTTTTGTTTTTAAATTGTTTTTCATTGAAATGAATTAAAATTAATAATCACAGCCCAAATGGTTTACACATCTAAGTCTCGGAAAGAGCATCTTGCATTACAATAATGTTTGTTCTTTGATTAATTGGGTAACATCTTTACGAAAGTGACTAGTTGGTCTACAAGAAAACAAATTACTAATAAAATTTTATGTGTTATGGATAAAATGCACATGTGACAATTATGCTAAACAATGGGTTGACAATGTCATGACAGTAACTTCAAAGCACAATTAAAGAGGGTTTAGCCGAAACCATCTCTAAGTCTTAACTCTCACAGCAACACAATATTTTAAGTACCTCCTCATCACATGAGGGAAATTAAAGGATAATGCAGAGTAAATCTATGGGGGGAAATAAATCAATGAAAAAAAATTAACCATACCTTCTGAGCAAGTTAAAGGAGCTCAAAAAATTATTTAAAAACCAAAGTAATAAAGTATAAATGCACCTTAAAACTGGATCCAACAATTATGTGCACATAAGTACACCTTCTTTGTTTTTACTGAGACATTGAATGCTGTTGTACGAGCCGTTGCCGAGAAGGTACCTGCAGGTTAATAATTCTTCTTGGTTCAGATGGGTGCACCAGACTGTCAGTACACCTCCACTCTTGATATTTCTGCTCATCTCTCCTTCTCCTTCTATCAACATAACTTACAATGAAACTAGCAGGTATCCATATAGCTGCTGATACCAAAACTACTGCACCAACAATATTATCTCTTAGAACTCGCAACAGTTTGTTTATATTTATGTCTTCAATAATGTCCCAAAAGCGTTCCACCACATCTTGCACTGTTTTTTCGCAGACTCCCTACCAGAAAAAGATATTAAAACTCAGTATTAGAATAATTCTTTGGAGGTTGATTAAAAATTGTCTTTGGTAAATAGAATCACCTTGTTACAAAATCCTTGAATGCAAGGTGTGCCATCGGGTAAAGTATCTTGCGGTTCCACTGGAAAGCAGGTATCATTCAAATTTTGTCTGCAGCATCGCTTGCAGGCATTAGCAACTAGAAAATGTGAAAAGAAGAGTGAACATTAGAGATGACATGAACTTAATTTGCAAGTGTAAATCAAACATACTGTCAAAACATCGACACAGACTAAAAAAAAAAAAATTTCAAGCAAAATCAAACTAAAATATAAAGCATGCTTACGATCTTCTTTTTGAATTTTTTTGCTGACGCCTTTCCCTGGAAATTTGAACATTAAATAAGCAAAGGAAAGAAACGAGGTAATCACAATAAATTTAAGTGGCAAAGGTGTGACCACATCTTGTTTTCACTCCCCTCCACATGGAAAAAGCAAAATTAAAATAAAACGAGGAACAAAAATGTTTACTTTTTATGAGGGGTCAACTAACTTTAGTATTGGAAATGAAAGTCACTAGATGGAAGCAAGAGACTAAAGAAAACCAAAACTCTAGTTTGCAAACAAGCACAAAATTGCTTCATACATAATTTTAAAACATCATAGTTTTGAACTGTTTAAAAGATACAAGGACTAGCATGTCCCAAAATTGTTCTAACAGAAAATCTTAACTCTGGGGTAAAAACTGAAGTTCGGGGATACATTTTTTATATAATTGTTCTAGGACAGTTTAAAAAAACACACAAAAAAACGAGCACTCTTGTCCCTATGTAAGTGTAAGCTACTCCAAATCTATTCCTACAGACAGAGCAAACAGAAGCAAGTTTGAGCCGGAGTACTAACTTTGCTACAGTAAATAAAATTCATCAGATGCTATTAGGTGTGTAATGAATATGTTACATTTCAACTTACTGATATCACACATGCAACTCTGCAGGCCTTGAGTCTCACAATACGGAATGCATTTTCCAGCGCGGCACTGTCCTCTCTCAAGGCAGTTAGTACCATCCGGCATGGGAGGACTTCTAGGGCAATCTGCGGAATTCCCAGTGCACCGTGATTCTTGTTCACAAGTTGCATACTGTGCATCTCTGCACTTCAGGCCTGTGTTCATAAACTTGCAGTTGTGGCAGCATGGTGAGTTTTTGTCACTGTTGATCAAGGGTATAAATTAAATGATGGCAAGACATGAGCATTGCTACAAATGGTGAGCAGAGTGTATACAAACCTGCAAACAGCGCCTTGACTTTTACGAAGTCTGCAGTTTTTATCACAGCAGTTGTCATTATCTTCAGTACCGAGAAGCCCAGCATCACATTCTTCATCTCCTTCTACTCGCAGATTCCCGCAGAATGATTCTTCAGGCTCTGAGAAACAACGGCCAGATTTGGCCTGGAGAACTTTTCGAATAGACTTCAACGAGCAGGGTGAAAAGCACTGGAAAGGGTACAAATTCTTATGTTACTGTTCCACCAGAAAATGGCATAAAATGAATAGTGGTAATGCAATACTTACCTTATTATTGACATCATAGCCACTAACACTGTAGGTGTACATCAAATATGAGCCCCCTTGGCTAGCTGCTGGACTACAATCTGGAGTGTCAGGATCATGTTCTGATCCCCAATTATGACCAAATTCATGAGCTGTGACAAGATCTGCCTCTCTAGTGATGACCCTCTGTCCATAGTGGTTACGAGATGAGCTCAAACCAGAGTTCAGGTACAAAGTGTAGCCATTCTTGAAATACTCTGCATGAATGAAAAGATGAGCATAAATTGGAGCAATTCTGATTAAAGAATGAAGTGGTCAAAACAAATACAATAATTTTCAAAGTAGAAATAGCTTGAAGTCTATCAACAAATACAGAGAAAAACAAAAATTAAACCATAAAAAAAGCAGATAAACTGGATTCTTCCTTGACATAAACACAGAAAGCAGTAGAAACTGTACAAAGGCTCCCACCACGTACTACCATGCACCATGACCAAAGGTAAAGGTTCCAGGAGCTACAGCTGAAGACAAAATGCATATCCTAAATACAACACAACTAAAAAGTGAATTTGTCTTATGATCAAATTCTACATCCTTTAAGAGCCAGTGCAGATCTTGAAAACAACAAGCAGCAAATGTACTTTGAGAAGAAAAAAATAGAAATAATACAACAAAAACCACAGCTAACAAAACGGCAGCAAGAGTTGAAAAGTTTTGAAAGTTGCACTCCGAACCTGGGGTGCAGATACCACCAACAGAGTTGCGTCTCGGTGACCCAACATATGCTAGACCCAAAATTCCACCCTCAAACTTCAAGTCTGTGAAGAGATGAGCCAAGCAGAAGTCCTTGTGACTATATTCTCGACTGAATACCTGCCAAACAAAGTACAGAAACCTTTCCAACTTTCCAAATACTGTTTAACTTGGTTCAGAGCTAAAGAGGAGGACAAACGACTCAAATCTATCTCCTAAGCCAACCCCAGGCCAAAATAGAGTCAAACAGAGTAAATAGAGAAATAAGAGACTGCAAGATGGTGAAAAAAGCACTCCAAACCAAACTAACTAAATATCCTTAAGTGCTTTGTTCTTCAGTTGTTAGGAGATTAAATTTTACAGACAGAATACCTTATCACCAAACATGCCACATTAACCACCAAATGAATTAAAACATGTTAGATTCATCACCACCCATACATTCATTTTGTTAGATCAAACAAAATAAGATATTAAAATATAATTGAATAACAACCGTGAGAGCAGACGCCACCTAAACCATACGGACGTGGGGAGGCGATGTATGCCAAGCCAAGGATAGTGGAGCCGGATGACCGGAATGTTTGATGGGTGAAAAGATGCGTCAGACAAAATAATCCTGCATCCTTCACATCAGTTGAAAATTGCTAGGTATGGTAAAAATTGCAAAAGAAATGTCTCTATTTAGTAAATGATGTAAAGCTTAACATTGCCCCTCTTTAAAAAAAAAGGTTTTTATAAAATTCAGAACTTTTTAAATAATTTTGGACAACAAATGGGTAGGCCAAAACCTCATAGTCCCCTTAATTTTACATCCGCAGAAAATCAAAGTTTTAAAAAATCAAACACAGTAGAATGTATGGACTCACCTCTAGGAGATTCCGCACATCCCATTTCTCCCGAACCATGTTATAGTGGGCTTCACCGCCTCTAACCCTGGTGGGTTCACTGTGAACAACTATCTTCTTTATGACAAAGCCCATGCCTTTGAAACCATCTTGTTCTGTTCTATCTTGCCAAAGAGTGTCATTGTATATCTTATGCACTCGGTCTATGAGACTGATCTAAAAAATAAAAGACATGGATTCAAAAACAGAAATTAAATAACTAGTACAATCTTAATGAAATTCCAAAATATTACCAAATAATTTATGGTAGTTTTTGTGTTTCCAGCCCCCATTTCTGTAAAGAAACGGTAATCTGCTACAAGTAGGAGAGGGCAGCGTGTTTTAGAAGGGGACAATTCATAAGCTTCAGCTTGTCGTTTCCACCGAGCTTTCCCTTCCTCCATCATTGTGTCATCATTATTATCAGTTGCATCTGGCTCATCCCAACCTACATCGAGACAACAAAAAGTAAAAGAGCATTTTTAGTTGCAGCCACAAATTTTTGGTCCTTATTTAAATTTAAGATTTAAAAAGAAAACATTGATTTTTACCTGGTCCTTCTTTGACATAGCCACAAGTTGGTTTAAGTTTTTCAGGGCCCTCCTGAGGTTTATGCCAACTATAACGAATATCTGAGGCTCGATAGGCAATCATTGACTCATTACCCAAGTGCGGCAAATGCCGCCAAGACGGCTACATACAAACAAAGACATTTTATTAACTGACCCAGTTTTGAAGAAAAACAAAAGGACAAGCATACACCTAAATAAATAAACCAAAACTTACCTCAATATGATATGTTTCATCTCCAACATGTATGGATGCTGTCATGATTCCATCCTCCAGGTGAGCACTGACATGAGAATTTGTTTCACCAAACAATCTGCCTTCATAAAAGTCTTCATGATCTATTTTAATAATGGGTAGGAACAAATTGATCATTATGTGTAAAGGAAGAAACATTTATAGTGAACAGACAAGTAAAGATAACTTTGGGATAACTTACTAATGCTGACAGGTTTCTCCTTGCCATCCCCATCAATAGTAGCAGCCTCAAACCTTGAATGAAGAACTCCTTTTCGTGGAGATAATATCAAGCGGAAATCTCTAAAATTGAAAAAGATAAGAAATGTGCAAAACATAATGCAAAATGAAATTTACCACTTTTTTTATCCTTCAGCCATATTCTTCAGAAAGAGATTACTCACTTTCCAAGAGTTCGAAAATTGATTTCCTTGATGTGATTGAATGGATGAGAGCTAGAACTAACCCCACGTTTCACAATAGTATGACTAAAGTGGGACACATGAAGAGTATCAAAGTGCTTCAAATTCTTATGAATAGAGCCTGGAAAACGAAATTGCTTATTCAACAACGGGCCACTCCCACAAATTATAGTATGTATTAGTCACCAGATAGATGAAAAAACAAAAAAACATTTAAGAGGTTATTTATCTTAGGACCAAGTAGTGTTAATGTCAAAAGCCAAAGCTTAAAACAATCATCGTAGTCGTGATAATGTTTAAATTAAAATGTTCATAAACCATAACAAAGTGCATGTGTTCAAATATGAAAGATGCTATGGAACTACTACAAACCATTCACAATCCAACAGAATAACACCAAATGAACACTCAAGTGGAAAACTAGTGGCACTTTCATTTTCGAAAGCACTAGAAACCAAAGAAGTGCTCATCAGCAACTAGAACAGTTAGGATTAATGAAATCAAATTGGAATTGACAGAGCGTGAGGAGAGAGCAGAAGACACTTGACAAAGCAGACAAAAGAAAATGAAGAAGAAAACAAGAAGTTGAGGTTAGGTGGAAGGGGTAGGGTGTGGTCATTTTAAATTATTTTTTGACTTTACTCGTATACAAATGTTGGTGTACTGTCCACAATGCAGAAATATTTTTTCATATTGCCTTAGTTGTCTAGATGAAATAATAACCCTGCGTGCTCTTTCATCGAGTGATCGAGATCCATCCTAATAGAACAGACCCCACCTCCTACATGATGTCGTTTGTTTGTTTTGCTGCAAACATAACCCTCAAATTCATGTGGATCAGTTTTTGAAGCATTCTGTTTTTTTGGTGGTCCAGATGTTATTTGTTTGAAATTTCATCTTTGACATGTATGTAGTATTAATTTTCTCCTGCTTTACGATATGTTGCTTCTTTTTGCGTGAGAAATAATATTCTTATGTTGTAAAATCACTTCAGTGCAGAAGCCCCACATGTTCTTGCCACTGTATTTTGACTATCCTTAGAGTTCAAAATGTTTTGCCGATTTTAGGTTGTAATTTTGATTTTCAAGTTTCAAACATGTTAATTCTTTTCCTTTTTTAACAGAATTTCAGAGTCATCTCTGAATTAACAAAGTATCAGAGAGATTCAACATAATAAACATGGAAGAAAAGCAAAGTGAAGAAGTGCCCATGACCATGGATCTGGCCAAAAGTGACAGTGAAGTGGAAAAGAATGGCAACAAATCGCCATCTCACGCAGATGAAGTTGGTGATGAAGACTCAGTTGCCGTTGGAAATTCCACAGACATTCCAACTACCTCCGTTGTTGGGGAAGAAACGCAATCAACTGAAAAGTCAGAGGAAGTAGTATCAGCCAACTTAACTCCTTCTTGCAATGTTGAAATTGAGGAACACATCTCATCGAGAATAGTGATCAACCGCTCAGAATGTGAAAACAACACAGGATCCGAAGTTTCCATGGAAATAGAGGCTACCGAAAATCAGATAAATAATGTGTTTAGTTCTCCCAGGAAAGAAAGCCTTAGGAAGCAAAGTCTCTCTGAAATTTCAAGTAGCACACCCAATAAGGCTACTGAGTCTTCTAGTGTGATTACTAACTCTCCTGGTGACTTTCCTGTGGAAGTAAAAATAAGTGATGATGAAGATGATGTTGTCGAGCTACCACATGGCTCGGAACAAACATTTCAAGGCTCACACAGAGGAACTGTTGTTCCGTATTCTGACACTGATGATTCTGACAGCAGCTCCTCCAGCGACAGTGAGACTTCCTCAGATAGCAGCTCTTCTGATTGGTAAGGGTGTATTTGACTCATTTATTTTTATTCTGATGATGGATAAAGTTATCCAAAGCAGATGTTTATAATTGATGTATTTCTCTCCCATCTCCCCCCAGTGAAGACAACTTAGACGGAAGTATCTCAGGAAATAAATCAACTTGTGATTCTAAAAGTTCAGATCCCAAGCCAGTTAAGGTGCGCGGTGAACTTGATATTGAAGACCTCCCGCCAATACAAGATTTGCACATTAGTGTGAGAAATGATCAAGTTGTTGAGATAGGAAAAGTGCTTCATGCTGTAGATACTTTAGGTAAGGCCCTGTACTTGTTTTACTATCATAATTATTGTGTTTACTATGTAGTGCTTTTGAATGCAGTTTTAGTTCAATTTTGGTAAGTGTCTGGTTTGCGTTTCATTTCAGTTGTTGTTGAGTGCTACAAGGACCAACCTCCCTTGGATATAGACAGTGTGCTATTTTTGGACAGAGGAGCACGACCTCTTGGCCGCATTTTTGATGTGATGGGGCCAGTGACAGAACCCTTGTATTGTGTTCGATTCAATTCCAAAGAGCATATTGAAGATCAAAACATTCAGCCAGAGATGCTTGTGTATAGTGCTCCTCGAACAGAACACAGCCAGTTTGTGTTTGTGAAGCATCTAATGATGTAAGTTTTTAAAGTGTTTTAGTTAACTCTAAAAAACCCACAAATTTAATTTTTAAGGAGTGACAATATTTTAATGTTTTTATTTCTTAACTTTTCTTAAATACAAGGATGAAAGGCAGCGATGCATCATGGAAAAAAGATAAAGAAGTTCCAGGAAGTGAATTGGACTTCTCAGATGATGAGGAGGAGGCAAAACGTAGGAGGGTAAGGAACTAATTATTTTACTTTGTTTCATTATTAATACCAAGTAAATTCTTGCTGTGCTGCTGTGCTTGGGACTAAAATAAAACTTTTACCTCAGGACTCAAACAGCAGAACAGAACATATACCAAATAGTTGGGATGAACCAAAACGCAAGGTTTCCAGACCTAATCAGATGGAGTCAGATGGCAAGTTTCAGCCTAACGCCCGTGGTTTTCAAGGCTGCCCAAGAGGCCAAACGCGCGAAAACTATCGTCCAAGAAATCCGTGGGGCTGGTCGGGTGCTCGGTTTAATGTCCCAAAGAACAATTATAGAAACCACAGCAACACCAAATTTGGTCAAGAATCTGCTCCAGGAATGTTTGGCAACCCTCCACCTTCTAACAACAGCAGCTATAGTCCCTCATCAGAATATTCTTCATACCAACATGAAAATGATTATACCCAAGAAAACCATTATGCATCTGCATCAGGAAACGACTATGCACCAGGAAATGACTATTCACAAGGACTAGAATATTCAAATGGAAATGACTATTCACATGGACAAGAGGCCTACCCCCCACACAATACGCCTGACCAGAGATACCAGGCATTCCAATCAGAAATAGCGAAGTTGGTTGATGCATACAATAGGGGTGTTGATAGTCCTATGACAGTAGCGTCAGCCACGTATGGTATGAGACCCCCCGGACCGCAATCCCAATTCGGTGGGTCTCTGGGCCTTCGTCCCCCATTCGGTGGAAGACCTTTCGCCCGGCGTCCACCTCCTCCATTTGGTGGAAGGCCTCCCAGCACTCCGCATCAATTCAGCGCAACGCCTCCCCCCGGCCTTACCGGCCCCTGGACCCAGTTCGCTTCAAGACCCTCCGGTCCACCACCTCAGTTTGGTTCAAGACCTACCGGTCCGCCACCTCAGTTTGGTTCAAGACCTACCGGTCCGCCACCTCAGTTTGGTTCAAGACCTACCAGGCCGCCACCTCAGTTTGGTTCAAGACCTACCGGACCGTCACCCCAATTTGGTTCTAGACCTCCTGCTCCCACATATGATAATCAGTTTTACTAGGTAAAACCCGTGGGTGTTGTTAAGTTGTTCTGTTTTTCTTCGTTCTACTTTTTTTTTTATTTCTACAAATAAGAAAATAATTGTTTATGTTCTGGCCTGTAGAATTATTGGAATATATGAGTAGTTAGTGTAAAATGAGTTGGCATATTCTTTGGGCATTTACCATAGTCACAAAGCCTCCAGAAAGACTTCAGTAGGATTTTAACATTTGTTTCTTCTTGCTGAGAGATTTGATTTTTATAACTGCAGGAGTTGTCAAAGGTGAAAGGAAAATAAGTGACCATCATGCCCAATGAGCGAAAAACGTTGTTTATTCGATTGTATACAGGAATCAATGTATATGACAAAATCAATTCATGATTCTCAGTCCAAGGAACATTCAAAATATCACTAGAATCCTCTACTTCTTCATTGAACACACAATCATTGGCCTCTTCATAGCACAAAACTAGTACTTTCCTTGTTGAGAACTGTGACTCAAAAAGGAAGCTACTACAAATGTAAAAAATATTTTGGTCATTAAAGCAAAGTCAGCAGAATCGTTTTACATCTATGAGTAAAAGCAAAGTAAAGCAACAAATTTGATGGAAAGAACCTATCTTTTTTTAACAACAGTTTTGAATTAAAATAACAAACAATTGATGTAGTGGATAGGAACTGCAGATGATGAATTACAACTTCTTTTCTCTACATCCTGAAAAAGATAAAAGGACACACTAAAACTAAAGAGATATAATACAATAATTACAAAACATTTCTGAGATTATGAAATGGTATTCAAGTTGCCATACAAATTAAATTAATTGGTAACGATGTAGTGAAAATTTAAAAGCCTTGCTTCTAACTCTTTTTTTACTGAATGGGTGTAGCAAAACCATAATATTATTCAACACACCAAAATATTCTCTGTCAAACTTGGGAATCATATTTGATACATGTGGAGTCACATATTTGAAATTGACAAAATTCTGTGATGTCCGATTCAACACAATGAATACGATAGTTTAAAAGTAGTGCCAAGACATTGTCAAACGCCTGTCATGTTGAGGTTTTAAGAAGAATCATAGAAGGAATAAGGTAACATTCATTAATATGCAAAAATTTAAGCTTTGGACTCGCACAATCATCATATTGTGTGAGGCTGGTAAAAATGTCCCTATGATTCAAAATAACATTCAATTAAAAGGAAGCATTTAAAATCGTTCATCTCTTTGGGAGACTTTCAAAAGTTTCAGGAACCAACGTTTTAGTAGATTTAGGTTCATCTCCCACGAAAACCAATTTACACCCATTTAAATCCATTTACATCCATACATACACATCAATTGTACACAAACACGCGCGCGTTCACACAAATTAGTTCTAAAAAAAAGTTCCAAACTTCTAAGATTTTACACTGGGTATCGATTGCTACTCTAAAAAACTTTAAAAACGCAACAGGTACTGTATGTAAGGCAGCTCTGATGTACTCTCAGTTCACCTTGTTGAGCTTCATTACTTGATAAGGAGAATAGTAAATCTTTCTCATAAAATTTTTCAAACAAGGTTTATAAGCAAAACCAATTCAGACTTCAATAAATCAAAACAAAGGTTGTTCTTAGGACAAACAAATAAAAAAATAAAGTTGATTTTGTAGTTTAAAAAAAAAACCAGTCAAAATTGCATATGATATCATGTTAAAGAATGCCATTTTGATAGAGTTGTGCACGAAATATGAGAAGCAATTGGCGAATTTGTGTCCTCTGAATGAAGCCATGGGCAAAAGAGGCATAAGACAAGCAAATGAGCAGAATCCAAAATCCAAATCCAGGGTTAGTGAGCTCGAGGATGGTAATGGTCGAATGGCACCCAGTACCAATGGTACCCACACACACCACAAAGATTCTTAGTAAAGCGCAGGGAGGCACCACATCTAGCGCGGGAACGTGCAGGGTCACAGGTATGTTGATTCACCTGCAAGAGAATCAACAGAAAACATGTTAGTACACCACTTGATTCTGGCTGACCATGCAAGAAGAATTACAGCACATGAAGCACATCAGGGTAAAATGAACTGTGCTGGTTCTGCCAAAGAAACAGGAATCCATGCAGCTATGATGTGACAATGCAGTGCCATGGTTGGGAAAATGCTAGCATGATGAAGGAATAGCTGAAGCGGCCATTTAAACGTGACATAGGTGGTTTAAAATATGGCAATCATATATTTAGTACCTTCCATCCAACAACAAAATTTTAAGATGTTTCCTATTTCAAGTATGTGTAACAAAAAAAAAACAACAATCAAACAAACTAAAACAAACAAAAAATAATAATAAAATACATGCACAAGTAAATAATCTCCTAGCAAATACAATCAACCAGATAAAACAGTAAGCATGCTCAGAAAAGTTTAAAAATGCATATCATTTTAAGAAATCATGTGCACATTCACGAACAAAAATAAGGCAAGTGCGTTCAGTCGAGGTGAAGTACCGCACACAAACACACACACACTCATGTACAGGACACAACATGTAATTACTAAGTGTAATAACCAAAGCGGAAGATACTTTTCTATACACCTCAGAAATAACTTTCCTATATGCATCATTCATTGAAGATAATGATGCAAATTATTTTTTATAACTTTCAGTGTGCTTTCAGAATAAATGGTTTTGGTTTCACACATTTACAAACAGGAAAGCTTCTGCACCTTCAACTTTATCAGTACAAGTGAGGAAGGGCCTTCTAATGGGACAAACCTCTCAATCTATACAGAGAAAGAACACTCACTAATGCACATTGTAAGTAAATTTCTTTGTGCATAACTAAATAAGTGGTGAAAACCAAAGGAAACTTACGATCAAATCAGCTTCAGCGATAGTTTGTGTTTAGCTTGATGATCAAACGCATGCATAACCACAGTAACAAACAAATTTACCTCAGACATGGTGTTCACCACACTGCATAGTTGCTGTCCACGACTGCAGTTCTTTTACCATATTTTCATCGAGGGAAGTGGAGAAAGGTGCAGGGGAAAGGTTTGTTTCATATGTAGATGTAGGGACCAACACTTTGTATCTTTAGTGTAAATCTGTATGGGACTGAAAGGAATTAATATACCATGTTCATTCAAAACTGTGTTTAATTTTCATGTTTTTTTCTTTCCTTTTTTGAATTTTTCGGGGGGAAGGGGTTTAGTTTAACACTTCATATTTTGAATGGGAATAATACAAATTCATTTCCCTATAATATGAATGTTCTCTTTTCACATAGACTATTAAAAAAAAAAAAAAAAGAAAAAAAAGGAAGGTGGTATAGGTTTTATAAAAGAAAAAGAAAGGAGTTATTAAACAGTATGGTAGTTGATGATACCATACTGCATTATACACAGAGCACTTTTGTGTAAGGTATGGGTGAAAAAGCTTGATGATAAATGAGTACAACTTATTTATGTTACATCAGGGTATGGCACAATACTGTACATGAAACTCAACTACATAATGCAATATTATGGAAAAATAGTCATCAAGCAGATACACCACACAAAGGTTTGCACAACATAACACTGGCTTAGAGTCAAGAATCACAGCACTAAACGTAACTGTACATAAACAAGTACAGCTCTTTAATGCAGATGAATGATACATTCAGTCCGTGATGTACAACGATTGCTTCAAAAGTGTAATACAAAGTACTACATAGTACAAAATTGTACATGAAGCACACTAGGTACCACACACAGCAGTCCTACTCTTCCACTATGTGGTGCAACTCAAATCTATTAACAGATCTCAAAGAAGATAGAGATACAAAAGGAGAAAAAAAGTCAACAATACCTAGACAATACCACAACTCATTCACAACTATCCATATCTCAGCATTTAAAGAAAAACGTAAAGAAAACCGTAAAAAAAAGGGAAATACAATTTCACATGTTGCTGAATTTGTACCTAAGGTGAATAAAGTACTTTAAAAGTAATTCCACAAGTTGAACAAAAACAGGTTATCTAACATAAAAATTATAAAAAATTATAAATCTGAGGAAAGGAGGAGATTGAAAAATATCAAAATATAAACAAGCTTGAAAAAGGGAACATCCTAAATGATACTTTGATTTATCATCAAAGCTCAATCATCATACAATAATAAATTTGAAGTGTGCTGGGTGACTTGTAGCAAAGAATATTTCTTTCCATATCCCCTAATTTAAAGAAATTCAGTGAATCTAAATTTGAAGAGGCATAAGGGAGTACTGTAACAAGTTGATAAAGCTAGGGAGAAAATGGAACATTTGTACTTGCAACAAACCACCTCCTACAGCAAACACCTTGTGCCTATTGGCTCAAAGTGTAAAACATCCACATCACAGCAACGCTCCAAAACATAACTTCATGATACACCCTGTGGGAACTGACCCCTTCTATGCATCCAACCATAAACAGGACTGTACATCTTTAAAACTTACATTTAAGAAAACAAGAGATCACACAGGTTTCAGGCACAGGAGCATATCCAAATTGATTTTGCTAAACACTAGGCACTGAACCACTTCAATAATAACAGGGTTAGCATTTTAAATATGCAACAGTAACAGCTTAAGCTTTCTCAATATACCTAGAAAACTTCTAAACACTTGTGAGGTTCATTGACAGAGGGCTGAAAAAGCACATTGGTAGTGCAGAACAGTGATCATGTGACAGTAAAACAATGTGCAAAAAAATGAGATACTCATGAGTTCCAGACTTTACAATATGCAAATTGTTTACTCAAAAATCAAAGTCAAACCAAAAGCTTCTGCTCCAAGTGAAAAAGGGTAATCAAATAGAACTTCCCTTGGAATAATTCAGTTATTGGTTTTAAAATGTTATCCGTTTAAAGATGGTTTTTGAGAAGAAATGTAAAATCAAAAACATGGTACGGTTATTTTCCACCAAATTCAGAACTCTCTATTGGAAAATCAAATATAATCTGAACCCAAAATTTCAAGAGCTGTGCAATCATAAAATTAAAAAGTTCATTTAATTGAGTGATGTAAATGTAAGTCATACAGCTCTTAAATTATACAAATAGGAAAGAAAGACCAAACTGTCAGTGCTTAAGCTGATAGCACTAGCGTTTTCACGAGCAATAAACCAGAAACTGGACAATCACACACGCATACACGCGCGCGCGCACACACACACACACACACACACCAAAAAAGGATTGATGAAGTAAAAACAAATATGCACATAGTGTAAAACAAATGTAGAAATGTGGACATAAACTTGTACACTAATATCCTGCCCCTCTTTGCTCTTGTTTCACCCTCCAATAAATATCCTCCACGAACAAAATACTGTTACTTTCATTTCAACTTCAATGCTGACAACCTGAAGCAAGGGTTACTGTCACCAGATCATGAGTTGGCTTAAGAATTCCTAGTCAGGTAACTTAAATGTTTGCTTTATTGTCTTTAAATTTAAAAACGAAAATGCTATGTTGCAAGTTAAATGCAACATTTAAATATAAAATAACATCTCAAGCACTGATCCCAACCAAACATACAAACACGAAAATAGGTAGAAGATAAATAAAAATTTGACCCTACATTCAGATTTGAGAATATGTTTTTTTGGAAGAGAATGATTAAAAGGATTGTACAAACAGCAATAACATTATCTGGTGCCAGAATAATCACATGCATTCTAACTAAACCAGATATTTGATATTAGCCTGTGTCTTTTCATCTCTTTTAAAAGTTTAAAATAGGGAGAGAGAGGGGGAATCGACAAAGGTGTATTGCACTTCAAAATTTAAAACTACAGAAAGGCAAACCCACCACAAATTTCTTCATCTGAGAATACATAAGAAGCTTCTTAGATAAAGGAAAGGTTTATGAGAGATCAATGATGAAGATACTCATGTCAAAAAGATCCTTCGGTATTGATTGCCTTGTACAAATAAATCATAACAACCAAATACATAGATATTTAAGAAGAGACACAGACAGTGCAGAATTAGCAGCTTGTCTCACCCAATTTCCACTCCAAAGAAAAGACATTTCTCCAAAACAAGAGCCAAGATAGGCCAGGATGAATGCACACTTTTCTATAAAACAACCACAAAATCCAATCCAGACAAAGGGCCTACTAAGGTACAAAATTTTGATTCCTGGTCATGAAAACCTATAGAGCTAATTACATTTTTTTAATTTTTTTAGTTGATCTACTAATACACATTTGTCATTAATAAAAGTTTAATTGTTTTCTCACTGGGCAAATGTTGGAGCAGGGTGGTGAATCGCATCAGCAGCAGCTTGAGTTCTTCCTTAAGCAAAAGGCTGATTCGACGGGCAGAATTCTGAGTTGGACAGAAGGCTGTAGCGTCCCACTCGGCGACTCTCCGTGGCCTCCACTGTGAAACATGGCATGGCCAAGTCAGATATGCACCAAGTCCTATCGTACCATATTTCACTGAATAGTGACAATCACCACTCCGTTGAAGGTCAACTCATCTACATTTGACTGTCAAAATGACACTGATAGCTGTTAAAATCGATATGGGAGGGTTCTGCAATACAGATCATAGGAGGATTCTGCAATACAGAATAGGAACACACAGCCATCTAATTTGAATATAGATTGGTCATTGGACCAGCATGAGACTAGTTTGGAAGCAATATCAAAGATGATTTAATCTTTAGAGAAATCGATTGGTTCCATTCAGTCTTGCACTGTGACAAGTAAAAGAAACTCTAAGCAATTTGGAGTATACAGCAAATAGAGAAAGCAGTTCAGGATATTAGCAAAAGAAAGAAAGAAACTTGCATAGAAAATTTGAAGTCAAGATGTCACATTATTGAACAAAATAATAAGTAACACCTTTTAAAAGATCTAATGACTCAGTGACTTTGCTGTTAAAACAAAGTAGAGTGGAGCCCAGCCCAAACCAAAGATTAAGTAGAAGCAGAAAGGCAAAATACAAGACTTTTCCAGATCTTGTTATTTCTGAAAACAATCGAAAGGCTAGTTTCAAAACAACTCAAATGATATTATCTCATGCATATTCAAGCAGGTCTGCTCCATTCAAATAGCTGAAGTGAGGAAATCTAAGTGGAACATGCATGAAAATCCAGATGCAGATTCAATTGTGAAAAACTAACATTCTTACAATTATTTCAAAGAGAAATGCGCACCTTGGTTAAAGTTCGGCGACGTGCCTTGCAGCTTATAGTACCAATAAAAAAAGGAGAGAAAAGGAAAAAAATAACTATAGAACAATTCAGCACAAAGGACATAATTTAAGAAAATCAACAAACATAAACTTGAAAGCATAAAATTGATTAAAACTCGGTAAAATTCTATGTATAGTATGAAAATATGTCCCACCATCTACAAATATTTGTGTTAGCTGTAACATATGCAAGGGTATTGCACAATCTATTATTTCATAAGTAATGAGGCCACAAATGACAATGTAGCAAAGTGCTGGATAAGCAAAAGTTAATACAAAATATGAAATAGGAAAATTTGAGTGGTAAAGAAGCTCCAAAGCCACTGGGTGTTAAGCTTGATTTAAAAATATAATCTTTTCAAAAAAGGACACATTGCTTGTCATTTGTACAGAGGGTAAAGTGCTTAAAACAGGCAAATAAGAGGAGTGGATGAGAGAAATAAGAAACCTTTAACATACTTTCCATACAGGTAATGTGATGCTCTAGCACTAATGCAATTATCATTACACCGCACAATCAGTAAATATTTTAGGAACAAGAACACTGACCGTAGTAATAATAAGGTTGAGGAAATCTTAAGATTACAGTGAGATACACTTAAAAGTTATGACCACTGATCAGATCATATTGAACATGCAAGGTTAAGGAAAACCAAATTACAGAAGCATTTTGTTTCAGGATGACTTTGAGACAAAGCTTTTGTCACTCACCAGATTCCCACCCATCTTCCTCTTCCTCTTCATCATCTTCTTCCTCCTCAGCCGTTGAAGGGTCCGTGGAATCAGCCTCAGATGATTCACTTGGAGTGTCATGAGGGTTCATAACATTGCTGGAGTGCAGATGGGACTTGTGCCAATCTGAAGGTTCAGGAGGCAATCGAGCCATTGACACATGCACCTAAAGAAATATAAGTAGTTTAACACTTTAACAAAATCTGTGCTTCTATTTGCTTCTTTTTAAGACCAGATAAAAACTTCAAACTGACCCTAAAATCTGATGCATAAATTTTATTTTGTTTATCCTTGTGGGCATCGTCGAGTTCCCACTTGTCAAGCCGGAGGATAACCACTTTAGTATCTGGATTCAGTGGAGCCAAAGACCTTGTTCTGGAAAAAGTAAAACATAGATAAAAATGAAATAGAAAAAAGGATAAAACCTATTGTCTGCAATAGCTACACAATTTTACAAGTCAATTTGCTATCACAATTTTGAAGGTTATGTCGCCTTACTGACCTGCTGCTGGCATCGCACTGGCCTATCTGAGCCTCCTCATCATAGCTGAGCGCTCTAGTAGTTCGCTCAGGTCTTTCAACATCATTCCCATTTTCTTTCGGTTCAGGTACAAGGGTCGCTTCTTCTCTTACAAAAAAGGTGTTAAACCAAAAGTGGAAAAGTTTTTCCTGTAATATTAAATACAGCAAATTATAACTCAAACAAAACCTTATAGGTGATATTCCACTTGTTCATTCATATACTGACCTTCCTCATCATTTTTGGTTTGTTGAAAAACTCCACTTTTATGTCATCGTTAAGATATACACAGAGCTCTAAATTTATTGTGAGTGACGGAGCACCCTTTTTAACTTCATAGATTTGTGATTGATAGAGTTTATTGTTTCTCATTGATATTGTAAACATGATACCTGAAACAAAAAAATTAAGATTTTTAACTGAGGTATCAAAGAAGAGAAGAAAATTTAGATGACTTCAGCTGCTTGTGTAACTTACTGCTTTGACCACCATTTAAAACTGGCATAGGTTCTAGCCTTATTTCTCTTATAGTTAAAGTTACTGGGCGATACACCAATTGCTCTTGTACAAGAGAGGCATAATATTCAACATATCTGCGCTGACTTGGAATCGTAACACCCTGCAAGAGAAGTCAAATGGATGAGAAAATGCACAATTTTCTACACTCAAGTCTGAGATGGGCTAAAAATTGAAGTACCTTCTTATCATGAGTTCGCTTATCTCCATAGTAGCTCAGGGCTTCACTGGCAGTTGGAAAGAGCTTGGCATGTAGCATATAACAACACACCATTGTACCTGTCCGGCCCTGGAAACAACAAAAAGTAACTTAAGGAACTTTCATTTGAAAAAATTATAAGAATGAATCATGGCAAGTAATGATACCTTTCCAGCTTTACAATGTACAGCAGCTACATTCTTTGAGTCTTGTGAAAGCCATTTGTGAACATCAGCACAGAAGGGTTGAATAAGCTCCATTGTAGGGGGATTGTGATCATCAAAAGGATAAATGGAAACTCTATTATGAAATTTAGCAACATCGTATGTTCTTTCAGAACAAAGATTGTAAATCTTATAGTGGTCCTTGTGTTTCTTTTCTAGAAACTTATACACATCATCAATATGATTACGATAAACTCCTTCTAATTTCTCTGCTGGAAAACCCATTGCAATGAGATTGCTCTGGATGTCTGAGGAAATACAGTTAAGGAAAAAGAGTCACATTAATGAACATTCCTTGCAGTGAAATGAAGACATTAGATTTGCTGATCTCAACAAAGAAAAACAGAAATTATTAATCTACAAAGCAGCAAAAGTACAAAGAGAAATTAAGCATCTCATTAATATGATGTTGATTACTTCAAAATCAGTCGATAAGGTAACAGAGATATGGGCGCTGAGCAAATAATACTCCATATTCTTTCCCTTCCAACTGAACTATACACTTAAGGGATGAAGACAAAACTGACGCAATTCAAACATGGCACACTTTAATCAAAGGATACAGGTAAGGTCCAAGTTGAACCCATCTTGAGTATACCGCTTTCTTCGCTTGCTGACTAAGCCCTTAATGGGATTTGTTAATTTGTTGTTGGCCATTTTCAGGTATAGCAAATACCAGTCAACAAACTCATGTCCACCACTTGGGTACCATTACATTTGCTCTGTTCACTAACAATTCTTTTCTGTGAGAAATGCATTCACCCATAAAAATGCTAACCCAAACATTAGGTTATGCACTCGTCTAGCGAAGAAGCGCAGTGTCTGTCTCGTCAAATGGAGCTATCGGATCAATGTTTTTCCAAAGCGCAGGAATAAATTGAGATGGAAGCCCGGTTTGCCGACAGAGCGACGATCTGATGTTCTTCTAATTGTGCACTTGTGCACACGGGCTCGCCGAGCTGAATCAAGCCTAGTGGAGGAAATGCCCGATGCCCGATGCGATGCCCGCTGCCCGATCTGTCACGCTGGTCTTTGGCTCCTCACACGGAGATCCAACCAAAGACCTCAGCACTCGCGGCATGAGTGCATAATGGGGGTGCACATTTTAACGTGATTGAAATCACATTCAATGAAATTCAGCAACTACAAAACGCTAGACTACTGTGTTCCTTTGTCAATGCTGCACTAAGCAATGGCCAATGGCGTCCTCAGCTTTCTGAGACCAAGGATTTGTATTCGGGCAGATAACTCAGGAGCCGCTCTGACGTCACGAACGCGGTGGTGGGGGCACCGGTGGAGGCTAGTGGAGGCAGCAGTAGGTGCTTCCAGCTGGCCGCAGCTAAGTTTCATTTTATCTGAAACGTTTTTACTTTGGAGGTAAAGGCTAAAGGAACCCTTGGAAATGCAAAGTGGCATATGACACTTAAACTCAATTAACTTTTTTCTGCAAAGACTTGCGTAACTCACAAAATTATTATTATTTTTAAATTTGTAAGTCACTAACAGAGGGTAACACAGTAGTTCAAAACTCAGACTTCAAAGCACCAATAATAGTCAAGTCTATATAATCAATAAAAATTTGGGTGACTTCATCCATATGGCAAAGCTGTGACAGAATATTTTTAAATTTAGCTATGCAAAATTGAACTGATAAATTATAAGGGAAGAAGAAACATAATGTCTCACGAGCTGTACAAATTTGAGATGCCATCAGAAATCCATCCACAGATTCGAAATGAACCTTAAAGTTGAAAAGAGAGACTCAAACATTAGTGGCAGGGCACAAATTTGCTTAAAAGCTTTAGCTTGAAGAGACTTTTGTTACTCAGAACCGTTGAAGACATGACTTAATAGTTAGGGTTTTCAATAGCAATTTAGTAGAAATGCTACAATCAAAATAAATAAAGATCTTCATCTATTTATTTTATTCAAAGTCCCAAAATTTTTCTGGTGACCATGTCCTCCCCAAGAGAATCATGACTTGTGGATCATGAATGAATTTATTATTCTCGTCAGATTATCTTGCGTTGTATAGTATTTATTTGGCAATAAGAAAGCGTTTATGAGCATATTTACCACGTCATTGACTTGACAACATTAAAAATTCTTGACAACTCTCAAATGTTCATTCAGCTGGCTGCTTATCAAAGCGGGGAAGCCCCCCCCCCCCCTCTTCACATCGGTGCCCCCACCACCCACCACCGTGTCCGTGACGTCACAGTGGCTCCTCAGTTTTCGGCCCGGATCCTAGACCCTGCTTGGGTTGTCTGTTGTCTGCTGGCGCTGCTCTGGCGCTGCTGGCGCTGGTTCAGTCAAATATGGGCGAATACTGAATACCTACTTGAAGTTTGTCTTGTAAGTTTGTCAACACTTGTCTTGATAAAAGCTCTTTCTTGTGATGAATCTTGTAACACCCACACATTAAGGTCCTAACATATTTGTGTTGCCATGGAGCTCCTGACTCGACGACCGAAAATCTAACCTTGTTCGTGAGACTGCTCTTCCTGTTCAATGTTTCTCCTGGTTTGTTTTTACACTCACTCTAGTAACACTTAATTGTGTCATTTCAATAAAGTTGAAGGTTCGAAAGTGAAACTGCTCTTACAGTCTGAAATTAATCATTGTATGAAAACTTCAAAGTTGGATGTTTTGATATAGTGTTTCAATCAATACTTGTAAAATTCTTTTACAGATGTTCCCTGGTGTAGGAGTTAGGATTCCCCTAAGATATGTTATCTGTGCCACCTTCAGCCAGCGCCAACAAAGAACGCTCCGATGAAGCACCCAAGATACAGACCTTGCAGCAGGGCTCTGCAACAGGTAACATTTTTTCTCATTTACGCTTAGTAGTTTTAAGTTAATAAGCCACGAATAAATGAAATTTGTCAGATACAAGACCATTATTGGTTAGTTCCCATCGTTCTGTTTAAGGGGATATCTTCATTCTATGCTCCAATAAAACAAAAAGATTTAATGTTTCTATATTTTTGACTTTGGGCAATCTGAAAACGCTCCTATTAACAACCCATATTTTATCTCACTCATGGAGGAGACGACTGACCATGGCTACTTATTGAGTCCCCAACCATACTTGTTCAATGGAACAATCGCCTGTCATTGACCCATTGCCATCCATTCAATGTCAAGTTCGGGCTCAATTTCACCGTTTGATTTCTGCGTTGGCGTGGTTTTCACCCTCCATTGTGCGGCTTGCGGACGTACCCTGCAGACCGATTCCGAGAGTCGTTTTCGTCGCTCTGCCTCTCTCGCACTCATTGGGGGGTGTCCCGTATAGCTGCGACAGAGACAGAGCGACGACAATGACTCTCGGAATTAGTCTACTGGTGCGTGCCAATATGGGCCCAAATTGTCCTAGGCGCACCCGAGGGGGCAAAAACTCGGGATTTTCGTGTACACATGATTCGGAAAACGCAATGATTGCGCATGGTTTTAATTGATTTCATGGCTGATTTTGCCTTATTTCGCGACGGGACCAGGGTGATGTTGAGCGTGATTGCGTGTGATGTGTTCGGAAAGAAATGATTTCGGACGGATTTGGGCTGGTTTCGTGGATTCTGCCTAATTCGGTCGATTTAAGTGATTTTGGCTGATTTCGGATTGCTTGATTTCGCGTGATTCTCAATGATTCGCCTGTGATTTCGGGGGCCGTGTACACATGATTGCGCGAGTTTTTGCCCCCTCGGGCGCACCCCATTCCTCTCCTCCCTCTCTTCAATAGATTCTACCCCGCGAAACGCTGTTCCCTGCAAATGGAGTCCGGTTCGGGCAAGGGCTCGGGCAAGGGTCTAGGCCGACAGGGACCTGGGAGTGATAGGGACGGGGTCTGCGGACCGCTGCGGACGGGGTCGGGCAGGGTACGTAAGGGCCGAGGCCCTCGACGAAACCCGACACTGCCCCGCTGCCCAGGTGCCATGCTGCGGGCAGGGCCATGGCCTCGGCCATGGCAGGACCAGCAGGGCACTCCTGCGGGGGCTCTCGTCGGTCAGTCAGACTCTGTCTCTGTCACCCTTACGGAACGCCCCGGAAAGTGCGAGGGAGAGACCTCGGAATCAGTCCGCTGAACCCTTCGGAACCCTTACCCCTCCTCGAGTGGCACCAGAAAGGCAGGCGACGGAGTCTGAAGCTTTCGCAGTTCCCCTTTTCTCGGCGGACTCGGCGCAGCTCGGCGCTTCCCCGCCCCTCCCTCCCAAGTCCTAGCTGTCCTAGCCCGGTCGGCCGCAGCCTCATTCCGAGAGTCGTTCTCGTCGCCCTGTCTCTCTCCCACCCATGCCGGACGCCCCATGAGTGCGAGAGAGACAGAGCGACGACTCCCAGCCCGCTGTGGCTGCGTGGCTGCGGCAGGCCTCTAATGAGATCGCGCTCGTCGTGCGCTTGCTACGCTTGGCTGCTGGGCTCATCCCCCCTTGCCGCTTGTGATGGATCTTCTTCCTCCCGGCCAACCCGTGCCCCCCCCCCTCTCACCCTTTTTCGCCTTCGTTCCGTTTCGTTCCGCCGAGGCATCAGCCTTTCCCGCTCGATTGTGCGAAAACGCAGAGAGAGAGAGAGAGAGAGAGCGAGCGAGCGAGAGAGGCGTAACTTGAAGGGATTGTCAAGAATTTATCCCACGCCTTTGCCCCCCCCCCAGCCCTTATTCTCCTCATGACGTCATGTCCTCCTCGCTGCGCACGAATAACGACTCAGCGTTGTGCGCGGTTATTTGCATTGTGCCATTGTTTGTTTGTGCTTCGCGGAGAGGTGGATACGCGTTCCAGATTTGGCCCCTACGAAACAGTCATACCCGAGGCCGTACCGTAACAGCCAGCCCAGCCTACGGGCATGCGGCGACAAATGAGCACCATGTTTGTTTACTCGGGGGAATGCTATGCCCTCCTAATGCCCCCTATGAGTGTGTGTGTGTGTCCGTGTCCGGAAAGGGGGGGGGGGACACTGGTTCCGCTCGACCTATCCGCTGGTCCCTAATCCTCTCTCGCTCTCTGCGGCGCTCTGCGGTGGGATTGATCAGTCCGCCCAATGCGATTTGGCGCGGGACGGCACGCCGCGGGGCAGTGGGAGTGATCAGTCCGCCCAATGCGATTTGGCGCGGGACGGCACGCCGCGGGGCAGTGGGAGTGATCAGTCCGCCCATGCGATTTGGCGCGGGACGGCACGCCGCGGGCAGTGGGAGTGATCAGTCCGCCCAATGCGATTTGGCGCGGGACGGCACGCCGCGGGGCAGTGGGAGTGATCAGTCCGCCCAATGCGATTTGGCGCGGGACGGCACGCCGCGGGGCAGTGGGAGTGATCAGTCCGCCCAATGCGATTTGGCGCGGGACGGCACGCCGCGGGGCAGTGGGAGTGATCAGTCCGCCCAATGCGATTTGGCGCGGGACGGCACGCCGCGGGGCAGTGGGAGTGATCAGTCCGCCCAATGCGATTTGGCGCGGGACGGCACGCCGCGGGGCAGTGGGAGTGATCAGTCCGCCCAATGCGATTTGGCGCGGGACGGCACGCCGCGGGGCAGTGGGAGTGATCAGTCCGCCCAATGCGATTTGGCGCGGGACGGCACGCCGCGGGGCAGTGGGAGTGATCAGTCCGCCCAATGCGATTTGGCGCGGGACGGCACGCCGCGGGGCAGTGGGAGTGATCAGTCCGCCCAATGCGATTTGGCGCGGGACGGCACGCCGCGGGGCAGTGGGAGTGATCAGTCCGCCCAATGCGATTTGGCGCGGGACGGCACGCCGCGGGGCAGTGGGAGTGATCAGTCCGCCCAATGCGATTTGGCGCGGGACGGCACGCCGCGGGGCAGTGGGAGTGATCAGTCCGCCCAATGCGATTTGGCGCGGGACGGCACGCCGCGGGGCAGTGGGAGTGATCAGTCCGCCCAATGCGATTTGGCGCGGGACGGCACGCCGCGGGGCAGTGGGAGTGATCAGTCCGCCCAATGCGATTTGGCGCGGGACGGCACGCCGCGGGGCAGTGGGAGTGATCAGTCCGCCCAATGCGATTTGGCGCGGGACGGCACGCCGCGGGGCAGTGGGAGTGATCAGTCCGCCCAATGCGATTTGGCGCGGGACGGCACGCCGCGGGGCAGTGGGAGTGATCAGTCCGCCCAATGCGATTTGGCGCGGGACGGCACGCCGCGGGGCAGTGGGAGTGATCAGTCCGCCCAATGCGATTTGGCGCGGGACGGCACGCCGCGGGGCAGTGGGAGTGAGAGGCGGCGAGAGGGGGCGAGAGGGGGGCGGCGTTTGGAGTGAGAGGGAGAAGGATTGCTCTCGCGCTGATCGACGTTAAAGCGGGTAATGCGGTTTCGGGGGTGGGGTTTTGGTGGGGGTGAGGGGGAGTAGAAATAAACTCGGCCGTAACGGTGTAGCAGGAGGTCCGTCCGTTATCGCTCTTACGGCTATCTGTCGCCAGCACAACTGTTGCGCCGAAACCACGACGTCCGCATCGATACACTGCCATTTTCGTTGTGGGTAGGTAAGCCACGGCAAGCCAGGGCTTTCATTTTTACCGCACCCTCCTGCTGTCCGCAGCGCACTGTTGTCGCCCAACCTCCGCCCCTTGGCTGTGCGTTGCGCCGCGTTGCGGTGTTGTGGGCCCAGGGATGAAGCAGCCCCCTCCCCTTTTTTTGCCTCCTGCCACGGTTTGCTACACATCTCAATTATTTTCCCGTTCTCATTTCCGCCGTTTTGTCCCGCCCCATCCTTTGTTCTCCGCGCGCGGCCCCTGCAGCCCCGTTCCAGCCCCCCTTTCCAGCCCCCGTTCCCGCCCCCGTTCCCGCCCCCCTTCCAGCCCCCGTTTTCCCGCCCCCCCTTTTCCCGCCCCCCTTCCAGCCCCCGTTCCAGCCCCCGTTCCAGCCCCCTTCCAGCCCCCCTTTCCAGCCCCCGTTCCAGCCCCCGTTCCACCCCCCCTTCCAGCCCCCGTTCCAGCCCCCGTTCCAGCCCCCCTTTCCAGCCCCCGTTCCAGCCCCCGTTCCAGCCCCCGTTCCAGCCCCCGTTCCAGCCCCCCCTTTTCCCCCCCCTTCCAGCCCCCCTTTTCCCGCCCCCCCCTTCCAGCCCCCGTTCCAGCCCCCGTTCCAGCCCCCCGTTCCAGCCCCCCTTTTCCCGCCCCCGTTCCAGCCCCCCTTTTCCCGCCCCCGTTCCAGCCCCCCTTTCCAGCCCCCGTTCCAGCCCCCGTTCCACCCCCTTTCCAGCCCCCGTTCCAGCCCCCGTTTCCCGCCCCTCCAGCGCCGCGTTCGGCTCGCTCTGTTCGGCCGGGTTCGGCGAGCCTGATTGGAGATAGACGGGCTGGGCACAGCGAAATGTGAGCAGGAACGGCTCAGCTTTGTGTAGCCCTTATTCGTATTGTCCCCTCCTCCCCCCCCCTTCCCCCCCCCCCCCCCCCCCCCCCCCCCCCCCTTTTCCCCCCCCCCCCCCCCCCCCCCCCCCCCCCCCCCCCCCCCCCCCCCTTTCCCCCCTCGCCCCCCCTTCCCCCCCTCCCCCCTTCCCCCCGTCCCCCCTTTCCCCCCCCTCCCCCCCTTTTCCCCCCCCCTTTCCCCTCCCCCCCCCTTTCCCCTCCCCCCCCTCCCCCCCCCCCCCCCCTTTCCCCCTTCCCCCCCCCCCCCCTTTTCCCCCCCCCCTTTCCCCCCTTTTTCCCCCCTCCCCTTTTTCCCCCTTCCCCCCCCCTCCCCCTTTCCCCTCCCCCCCCCTTTTCCCCCCCCTCCCCCTTTCCCCCCCTCCCCCTTTCCCCCCCCCTCCCCCCTTTTCCCCCCCCTCCCCCTTTCCCCCCCCCTCCCCCCTTTTCCCCCCCCTCCCCCTTTCCCCTCCCTTTCCCCTTTC